TGAGCCGATCGCGATTAGAGCACAGCCAGCATTTACAGACATGCTCTTCCTTCTTAACTGAGCAAAAAGTGCCTCGTGTGTAGCTTTGAAAAGTGTAGTCTCTCTTCTGGAAAGCACATCCTGCTTGACTTTTACACAACTAAAAACAGCCATTTCTACTATTTAAATATCTAAACGTTCTACCTGTGAAAGAACGGGTAAAACTGTGTAAATGTTCAGAGGCGAAGTGTCAGTCTCACACAAAAGGTATCAGTGTGTCTAACTTGATACTTTTCCCAAATTCAGAAGTTCTTTCTCACTCTGCCAGATACACCATCCCTGCCAGCTGAAATAACAGTGCATGTGTATATGTATGTGTGTGTGTGTGTATGTGTGTGCTAGAATATGAACGTGCACATCACACACCCCGCCTGAGCCTCAGCCCTTTGAGTCATTTGTACTGTCTTAGTGAAAACTTTATTGGGTTTCACAGTGAAATGTGCAGAGACTGAACGCGATGCATGCTGCATGAATAGTGCATGTGTGTGTCCTTGCGTTTCTGTGTGCATCATTGGATACAGTTACATGTCCTCAGTGGTACACAGGTAAAGACATCTTTCATAATGTACACTGCAAATAGAAAAGGGTGAGCGTTTTTAATTAAAACATTATTCTTAGGTGCATTTCTATGGTGGTGGGTGGTGGGAACATTTACTTTAGTTGGAGACCTTCTCCATTATCCACTAATGAGAAAAGCTGATCAGGTTTACTGAGTCACACCCATCCGGCTGACAGGGCCAGCGCTTTCTAACGTTATTAGTTCATTACATTATGAGCCTTCACTGTATTTTCTTTAGTCTTTGCAGCAGTTTGAGCAAATTTGAATGTAACTGCATACCAATAAAAATTAAAGAGACATAAAGAGCTGAAGATGTACAGAGTAGTCTATTAAACTCTGCACAACCGACGTGCAGTTTGCACAAAAATTTGTGATGTTTGATGTCTTAAAGCAGAGTTCCATCGATTTTTCACATCAAAGCCTGTTTACGGGTCTTGGGGAGCACTACTGCCTTACGTGCAAACGTTGTATAAAGCCTTGTCTCCAGACAGAGCTGTGTGAAGTCTGATAAAGTGCCTCAAGTAATGTTGCTTGAGTCGGTGTCTGTTGTGGCTGAAGACTACAAGTTTGAAAAAGGATGTGTGGAATAAAAAATCTGTGGTTCAACTGCAGTGATTGTTGCTGATTTGCTCATTTGAGATCCGACCTGGTGACACTGAGCTGAGCAGAAAGAAGTTTCCAGTTTTCCTGTTTTCAGCAGATCACTTTTTCATACGGAAATCTAAATAGATTATATAATGTCGTAAAATTCTATGTATGATGGTTTTAAAATTGCAACTGTTTTTGTAAAGTCAGTACATTAAAGAAGACAAATCTCTGTCAAACCCACTAACTGCAGTCCTCCATTCTGATTTGAACTGGAGAATAAAAATTAATCCTCGTATACAGAATATAAATTGGAGGATTCTGTAATTACATTCAGTATGGCTTTGCATCTTTTAAAACTAATTGATTTTTACCTCATAAATGTATTCCATCATGTTGCTGATTAAACTTATGGAGGAGTATACCCTACATGTTACTCTTTTTACCTGCCTTCTTCTCCTCTGGAGCCTCACATCGGAGCCATATATCAACACATATGGACCATCATGTTCCTCTGTGACACTTTGATCTAATCTGTATTATAAACCGGAAGGTGGTGATATTATGGCAGTTTTGTTTTTTTTAAACAGTGACTGATCTGAACAAAAGCACAATGTGAAGCAAATGTGCTTCTTGCCAGTTGCAGGTGTCCTGGGACTCATTGACCTCAGGTGTTGAACGTCACTCCCGGGGGGTCGGTGAGCATTAGCGGTTTCCTCGTGCAGCAGCAGATGGTAAAGCACAGACAATGAGTGGATGAGAGAGACAAGCCAGGTAAAGTAGAGGGAGGGGCTGAAATAGGTTAATCTCCCGCTGCTTGTCTGTTGGAAGAGCGACTTGAAACCCACTGACATGTGCTTCAAAGCATGTGGGGGAAGGAGTGTTGGATTTATCATGTAGTATGTATCACTGAACAGAATACTTTCATTAAAGTCCAAGGATGATAGGGGACTAGGAGGTGATCTGAAGACAGTTTTTCAAAAGCTCAGCGTCTGACGTGAAGATTCAGCTCCACCTGTCCACCGTTAAAGTCCAGTGACCCCTCCCCCTCATGTTCCTTACTTTCATTCAGGCAGTAGCTTAGCAATTTAGCTAAATAGGCTTACTTGTTGGACTCATCTGCTTTAGCAACCTCCACCACCCTCACCTGTGGGCTTTCTCAATTATGCAAACACTTAAGTTGCTTAGATTTGCTGTCTTTCAGCCTGGTCATGCTTGCTGGGCTGTGATTATGGCTGGGTGCATTATCAGTTTTAGTGGATCTAGTTGCTCCTGGGCCTCAACCAACAAGATGACAAGGGAAAGTTGGACAGACTGTCAAAAATCACGAAAACTAACACCATGAATGCCTCAGTAAGAGTAAGGATAAGTATTTTTCCACAAGGGTTGTTAGCAAACTGACCCACATTGGGAGCTTCACTCAGTGATTTGGTATTTCTTTCTTCTCTTGTGATTAACTTGCCAATTATTATTTTAATTTAATTGAATTATTTATGCATTACTTAATATGGCTGCATTTACTGTAGGGTTATGCGACCAACTGAGACCATTACACAGACAAATCGATGATTGCATTCATTACATTCACCAAGTGTCAAGGGTATTTATCTTGTACAACAACCTACTTAGCGATGGTACATAATGTAATAATGAACACTCTGGTAATCATGATTCAAGGACATGTGGGTAAACTTTTTAATAAATATCGCTGCCTACCTAACTTTTGTCAGTTCTCACTATGCTTTGTTGCATAAGTGTTTTCTTCTTCGCTGAGTTTATGTAAACATCATCAATGCATTCTGTTTTTGATTTTGTTTTGAACAATCTGTGATCCCTGAAAAAGAGTCTCAGTCGACTTTTAAATAACTAATTCAGTGTCCTGGAAAAGCTGTGTCACTACAATACCTGCAGTGTTCCCATTACTGTTTCATGGCCATTACTGAGTGTGAACAATCCACACTGTATTCAACAGCATAGTTTGCAGTGAAAGACTGACAGGTAAACAATTCTGTCTTTGAATTTAGCCTAGCAAAGAAAAAAAAATCCATCAAACTACAATACAGCTAATATATGAACAGTGTCACTAAAAGGACATATCCCGACTTAAACTGAACTTGTCTCGTCTTGTTTGTCATATTTCCTTGTGTGTTGGTGTATCATTAGAGGCACACCGGCACGCTTGTTATGGTCGGTACATTTACATACTATTTGCTAAGAAATGTTGATCAACCTGTTACGTCTTGGCCTAGTTGGCTGCCACTGAAGTCGGTTTAAAACAGAGCCTTGAAAATTGTGTGAAACATTTCTTCCTGTGTTTTTGTTTACGTGCACCAGAATCAGGTTACTGCATGGTGAAGGTTTAGCACTGGGAGGTTTGTACAAAAGAAACATTTCTAAACACCTTCACACAAAGACCCCTGAATCTTAGACACAGCTCCTCTGCTACATGAAGGCCACAGCAACACGAGGACACACATGAGATGCTCCATGATGTCTGAGTTTAAACTGCAGGCTGAGGAAAATCAACAACCTTAATGAGGGCATCATATTTACAAAGTGAGGTACGGTTTCAGTCTTTTATTTTTTATTGACTGTTATTCTGCACTATTTATTTGTTTTTGGTCATTTGAGGGAGTGGTAGAAGGTGGCAAACACTTTAACAAACTGTCAGCCACTTGAACAAGCAACACTTGTATAGCTGTCTAGTGCTGTGCTGTGAATTCAGGGATATTTCCATGTAAATGATCTCTTAGAGGGAAAAGTTAGACGCGACAGAAAGTCTTGGTCTCACACACTCAGTCACGTCTATATTGGCTGTCTTGGTCAGCTGTGTTGCTCTACACTGTCAATCACAGACGCAAAGAGAGTCTCCTTCCTGAAGGGGGCTTGAACAGCTGTAGCAGCCCATTTAGACCTGAGCTAGTCACACTCAGGTATAAGCTTTCCATGGCCATGCCGGTAAACAACAACAACCTCCAGGTGAGACACCTTCACATTGAAAATTTCTGACTCAATTCAGATTTTTGTTTTGTTTTTCCCCCAAAATTAGCCAGTTTAATTGGACTGCTTGCCTCCTGCATGCAAACGTTCCACCAAAACAAGTCCCCCATCACTATTCTGAGGGAACCTCAAAGCAGCATCCTTTGCTCTGATTATGACTGGTTTAAAGAAAAAAACTAACAAGTCAGGATATTTTTTTCCGTGTAGCAGCATATAATGATAATGACATGCAACCAGACTATTCTGTAATGCAGGAGGGCCTGACTATTTGAGACTCGCAAGCAGGGCTTATAGAGTCATGGTAAAATAAACCATCTTTGAGCAAGTTTGAGCCGAAAAACTGAAAGACATGTGGGGATATGTAAGACTTTCATTAATGTGCTGAAAGGGGGCACAAAAAGGGGCAGTTAAAGCTAAAACAACAAAAACTAGTTAATGGTTAAAACAAATAAATAAAAAACAAATAAATGAAAGATATCAGTTAATTTGAGCTCCTTTATATTAGACACAGTTAGTCAACCCATTGTTTACAATAACCCATTGTTTAGAATTAAATGTGTTGCACCTTTAATATGACAGAAATGTAACTGCTATCAATAATTCTATGATAATTTGTCCTGGACACACCAAGAAACAAACATCCCATGTAAATACTGTAAATATTAAAGAACATATAGTATCAGTGTAGAGACAGTGAGTGTTGGTAGAAGCTGCTGCTGCTGCTGCTGTGAGCGAGGCTCCGCCCTCCGAGTGACGGAGCAGGGAGAGTGCTGAGCGGAGAGGAAAGCAGCTTTAATTGCGGGGCAGCGAGGAGAGCCAGCGATGGCTTCGCTCAGGCAGGAGCACCACTACGGGCTCTGCTGTGGAAAAAACAACAAAAACAGCCCCAACAGGACGCTGTACCATGTCAAGCTCACGGACACGGCTATCAGAGCGCTGGAGGCTTTCCAGAACCTCAAGGTAGCGTCTCGTCGCGTGTTTGCGTGTGCGCGTGTGTTTGGACGTGAATTCATTTTACTCTGGTCAAAAGTTTGTCATTTTTCGTCTTAGCAGAAATACTTGGCTGTTGTTTTTTTCTCCCGTTAAATTAACGCTCTGGCTGTTTGTTTTGTTTGTTTGTTTTTTGTATTTTTTCTTCTGTTGTTTAATTTCTTGTACTTATTTATTTATGTTTCCACAGTTTTATGGTATAAATAAGTGGGCGACAGTCGCTCCAAGCTGCCTGCTGTTACTTCTAAGAGCGATGTTACCGCTGACTCAGTTGGCTTTTTACATTTCTATATTTTTGCTACATAGCAAAGCATGATTTAAAGCCTGTGATTGTCGGGAAACACGAGCCCGTCAGCTGTTTGCTGGGAAAAACCTCCGTGGGGCTTCAAAGTGAATTGGAGAGGCCGCAGTCTGCATAGTTATCTAATTGACAAGTAGGCTAGTTTGTCTCATAATTAGCTCCAGTGGAGACCATTAACAGAAAACAGGCATTATCGATTGTGTAACTTTAACTTAACACTTAAACAGATTAGGGGATAATTGTGTTTACTGGACTCATTTAAATCAATAGTTCTCTGAATATGTGCCACAAATGCCCTTTTTTTTCTCTTGTCACTTCAGGGATCTTTACCAAGTGAACCATCAATCTGTTTCAAAGGAAACCAAGGGGTAAGTGTGATGGGATTTTTTTATTTACATCCTATTGTGCACATTGCAAGACAGTAAAAAAAATCCAAATGGATCCATCACTTTTTTTATTTGGTACCATACAGTGCATCCATCTGCATGTCACAAGGCTTCAGCTCATTGGTTTAAATGGATGAAACTGTGGGTTTTTGTTAAAGGAGGCAGTATCTCACTCAGAAAACAACAGCAAATGATTTCTGAAACTCTCCAACCAAGCTTTTTTTTTGTTCCTGGCTGGTGACTGGCCTGCCCCGCCGTGCTGCCACCCTCAGCTGGGGAGCTTATAGCCGGTCTTCTCCGGCAGATAGGAGGCATGCAGGTTACTGGGTCAGCCTGGTGACTGTGGAGAGGCTTTGTTGGGTCAGCGAGTGGCGCTGGGAAAAGGAGGGAGGGATTGTTAGGGGGTGAGGGAGGGAGACGTGCGCACATACACTGCCCTGGCCAGAGTCAACAGTGTGTGTGTGTGTGTGTGTGTGAGTGTGTGTGGAGCTATCAGAGGTCAAATGTGGAACCTTCATCGACACAGATTAGCACATCGTTTTGGAAAGTTTAATGTCCTACCTGGGTGAATGTGTACAATAAGATACTATTGCATTAGCAGCTTTTTCTGGCCCCGTTTAAATTGAGCCATAATCTGCAGTAAGTAGCCTGAACTATGCATGTTTTGACTTAAGTCGGGAGCAGCTGTGTCCTTGGGGAATACTTACTTTTCAGTCGATGCTAATTGCACAGGCTGGTTGGAAAGAGTCGCAACCCCCTTCCTGTCATGACAAGATGAGCTGAGTGGTGGTGCGTTTTGTAAAGGGGTCTTGTGTGGTTAGCGACAGGAATAAACCTGTAAATGTGCATGTTGGTGGGGTGTGGGTTGCTTCTGCTTTGTCTGAATGTGGAGCTCTTGATGTTTTTTTTTTAGTTTTAACTCAAGAAGAGCAGTTTATTTTCTGATCGTCAGTATCAATATGATGGTATGGCATGGTGGACTTTGGAAATAGTAAAGCTTTTTAAGTGACGAAGCCCAAGCTGTCACATTGAAGTGATCAGGTCTCTGCACGATGTCTGGTGTTAGAGGTAGTCAGTTGCCTGTTTTTTGTCATTTGGTTTGTTTTTTTTTGCCTCTGTTGATCCTAACTGCTGCTACACGTGCACAGGGCTTTGACAGTAACATGTGTGGAATTAAATAAGCAGGAATGCTGCAAATCCAAAGCTGTGGGACTGAGTATGTGCTGTGAAGTACCTGTAGTCAACTACAAAACGAGGCTTGATAATTGGATTCAGTCACATTTTATCTGAAAATCTGATGTGCCTGTAAAATGAAGTATTTAAATGGACATACATCAATTTAGTTTAGTCTGAAAAAGGCGTTTTAACTGGCTTTATCATATATAAACCATGTAAGAGGAGAGTGGTCGCGGCTAAAAGCAAATAAGTAGGAATGAAACTGATTTCATATTCATGAGTGCTGTATCGGAGTATGTCTGGAGACCTGGACCCAAATCTTTGACAGTTCACCTCTGGATCTCTGCTGTCGCTGTGATTGCTGAGGGATTGCAGAAAATTTCGCACCCCTCCCAATATATGGCCCAGAGAGCTAAAGTTATAAGCCAAATGAGTGTTTAGAGGTAATTACTGCAGCCATAAGGCTCTTGATTACAGAGTGAGGCATCATGACTTCAGTTTGCATTAGCTTTCCCCGTCTGCCTGACTCAGACATTCATAAATGTGTGTCTGTGTGTGTGTGTAGCGCTGGCACACTTTTGCTGCAGTAATAGCTAGGCCGACGACATGAACCCTGGCCTGCTAATTTTCCTGTCCCATTCCCAGGTTGGAGTCCTACTTTTTCTGTGTGTGTGTAATTGAAGAGAGAGAACACACCTCGTCTGCTAAAGTGGTGTGTGTGTGTGTGTGGAAGTGACATATAGAGTGCTGTGCATGTATGCATGCATTAGTATGCGTTACATTTTTTTGGTTGATGACCTGGGTGTGGGTGGTTGTTTTTGAATGCGGGTGTGTTTGTTTATGCTGTGTCCTGTGTGGTCTGAAGGCATGATTTATTCATGTCCCACCTCCTTTTTCCTGTCCTGCCCCCTGTGCCCTTTGTGCTGCAGTCTTTAGCCTGGCTGGACCGGCGTGGGTCTCCTGAGGACCCTCTGTGTGTGGTGTGTTTGTTTGGTTTGTCTGTGTGAATAAAAGAGAGAGGGAATGAGGGAATTTTTTTGGCACTTCTGCGAATATCTGTGTCTTTGACTGTAGGTTTTCTTTTTGGTGTGTGTGTTTAGGCTGTCTGTGCTGAGATGCTCAGAGTCCCCTCTGATTGTGTGCTGATTTGAATAACAATGAGCAGCGGAATGCAGACTGTGTGTTGTCACCCGGCTTGGATCACCCAAAATGAATCAGGTTTTTCAGCCTAATGCGTTACAGTCGGTCCAGATGTGTTGTGGCCTGCCCTGAGGGTTTGTTTGTGCCTAGCATGATAGAAACTTCCCTGCTGTGGATCTAATGGAGTGGAGACTAAAAACGAGAACACTGCAAACATCTTTCATCTTAAACATTTAGATATTTAGCCGTGATTAAAGTTAGATGTCTAGATTTTTATCTTGTTTTTTGGCCTCCACACTGGTAATATTTGTGACAGGGTGGATTATGTTTTGAGGTTGTCTTGCCATCTGTTCCCGTTTTTGTGAATGTGGTATCTCAGGAGGAGATTTTCTCAGGTTTGGACTTGAGAATAAACTGATTTGATTTTAGTGGTCAAAGGTCAAGACAAAATCGCACACAAATGGCTAATAGGATAAAAGTGATGACATTTTATATGCAAAAAGTCAAAGGTTACCTTCACATTGAAGTCATAATGTTCTGCAAAAACATTTCTTCTGGCTGTTATTTAGCGTCATCACTCAGACAGAATGCCTGTTGCCATGCTGGTGACACTCATCTTGAGTATCCTTCTTGAAACTGTTGTGATTGTGTAGAACTTCTGTGCTACTGGGTTGAACATGTGTGTGAAGTGTCTGCGTTCAAGGCCACAATCAAGGCAATATGTTTTAATTTTATAACACATAACTACTTTTACATCTACACATAGCATCCACACTACTCCGGAGTGTTAGGATCCCTAAAACGGAGATGTTTTGAATTACTGCTGAACTTGTTTTAGTTTAAAACTGTCTGGTTGTGTTGTAGTCTAGATCGGTAGAGATGGACGCTTTGGAAACAATGAAGACCCCCATGTTGACTGTTTGATTGGACCTTACTGTCACATTTTTTTCTTTGTTTCCCCATTGCTGTTTTTTTGCTGTAGTATTTTCTATACCTAAGCAACAACAACTCCCTGCTTCGTGTTTAAATGTGACATGCTTTTAAAATGCCATGTCGAAATGAAAACCTGTAGATGTAGAATTTGAAGTAGCAACTTTCATACTAGCAACATTTTCCACCTTTATGACTACAGCTTTGTGTTCTATTAGAACTTTGATGGCCAAGCATGTGAACATGCAAGAGGAATTTCCTAGTTTTCGTATCAATAAACCTGGATGCTTACATGAACAACAAAACTTAACAAATCAGTTTTATTTCTATATCCCTATATCACAAATTTTAAATTGGCCTTGAGGGGCTCCACAATCTGTACAGCAAATACAATCCTCTATCCTTAGAGCCAAGGCTCAGATGAGGAACAACTCCTAATAATGTGCAAAATGGAAGGAATGTGCTGAATGTTTTATCGGATGATTTAGTGTGTTTATCAAGTTTAGACCAATAGAAGATCTCCAGGAGCCCGTAGCAACACTGAGAGATATGAGAGGGCTTCAGTGTTGTGAGTCCAGTTCAGTTTTTTTTATTGATTTGACTTGTAAGAGTTCAGGCTCTTTACTTCCTCTCCCTGGATGGCAACCAGGACAAGGGACCTCCTCTTCTTGTGGTTGTCCACCACAAGTTTATTGATTTTGCTGATATTAAGCTTGAGGGTTTTGTTGTTGTATCGTTTGACAAAGCTTTCTGTTAGTTCACTGTAAAATAATCTTTTCAGTCAAGATAGTGTGTTTCTCAATACAAATCATAACTAAAACCATGCATGAGTTGGACAGACTTGGATACAAACTGCAACTTGACTGGTTGGCGGAGGCACATCACCACAAGACGATAATTCTAATTTAACTTGTGAAACGCTTGTTATTTCCATTGCATCATTATTACTTATGTGTGCATAAAAAAACTGGCAGATTATCCACACGCTCATAATAAAAAGCACTGCTAAAATGTACTCTTAATTTGTGCATTAATCGTCTTGATACGTAGCATTTAAAAGTTCATAACAGCACATGGAAAAGTGTGGGGCATTTAAGAAAGTAAGGGCAAGCATATATTTTCACATTGCAAAAGAGCTTTCCCTGCATTTCAGTAATCTTTTCAGTTAATTGCATGTGCTGTGCATGTCACTTGTTATAAATGTGCGTCGTTTTCTCTCACATCACCGTAATTGGTGTGTGCCCACAAAGGGAAAATTGTTAAGGGATTATGATCTTTTAAACAGTGTTGGTTATAGCTTACGACTTTCTCTAAAAAGCCAAGAATGAAAATCTTGTACACCGACCGGATTACATATTTATTTAGCGAACGTGTGAGTGCAAGATGAAGACAAGCGTCCCTCTGAGATCCAGCAGCAGCGGCTCTGGAAAAATGCCTTCTCTGTCCGATTTAAGCAGCCGGGAGATATGGAGCACATCTTGGCTCATTGAGGAGTGTGTCCCGTCTAATTCCCTCATGTGAAAATTCACACCGTAAGTTAATGAGGCATAAAGGGGGCCCTTGTTTTCTCCCCTCTCACGTGCGTCACGGTGTGGCCCTTTACGTCTGGAAACATAGCGTTCTTCGGAGGATCCCACCTAGCTCGGGGAGGGTAGAGGGAGGGGCTTTTGTCGGGCACGGTGACCCGCAATTTGTTGAAGTTGACAGTTTGGCCCTCAGGCACCTGCCAGAGACGT